GAGAGAGAGAGAGAGAGAGGGCCAAAAAAAGAGAGGGAGCCACTGAAAAGAAGAAACGCACTGCTCGGAGCGCTCACACTCGAACAAGCGAGTCTGAGAGAGTAACTCCGTCAAGACGTTTGGATTCCTTCACCGCTTTTTTTTTTTCTTCATCCCAACTTTGTGTGGGATTTTGGTGGCCATTTAACTAGAGCCATTTTGTTCCCCTTTAAATTTATTACTGTTAGACAGAAGAAGTACAGCATCATTTGATTACGTCGTATCCACCTTCCGGGACGAGAGGACAAGGTACCACGTGTTTGGACTCGAGTTTAATACTCTCCCAAGAGTGAGCTTTTTGAATATTAACAAGGACTCTAAAGTGCATTGCGAGGGGGACTGGGAGTAAAGTATTGGACGGGAAGACGGAGGATCCCCCCGCCGCACCCCCCCTGCAGTTGTTCAAACTGTGCGTGATTTGACTTATGGATGTCGAGACATTCCTACAGACCTCCTGAGGAATAAACAGCGAAGCAAGTCCAAGATTCTGGCCCCGTTACACAACCGACGGCGTCTCGAGATTTTTTAAAGAGCGTGAGTCGAGGTTGCGGGAAAGAGGAGATTTGGAAGCACGGGAGGGGGGCCTCTCTCTCCCGCTCTTGTACCCTCTCCCTGCCCCCCAGCTCAGCATGCCCCAGCCCCTGAGCACCTCCACAGCTCCTCCAGCTCCACTACCATGTGTAGATGGACAGTGACACAAGGTGCACCGGTCGCCTGGCTCTCCTCCCGCCCCCGACACCGCCGCCACGCAACCCCGCCGCACCTCCTCGCCGCCCTCGTCTTCATCCTCTTGCTCCTCCTGCTCGGACCGTCCTCGTCCTCGCCCCTGTCTTCTCCGGCGCCGCCGAGTTTGAACGAAAGCCATCATGCCGGAGGAGGGAGCCCACCTCGCCCCTTCGTCTCGCGGGAATCATCGGCGTCATCGTCCTCGCCGGCGCCTCTGCACGCCTCCTCCGCCAGGTTGCCACGGGCGACCAACCTATCATCGCCGTCTCCCGCCGCCGTGGTGGGGCGCCACGTGCGCAGCAGCTACAACCACCTGCAGGGAGACGTGCGGCGACGGAAACTGTTCTCCTACCAGAAGTTTTTCCTCCGCATTGACAAGAAAGGGAAAGTCAACGGCACCAAAAGTGAGGACGACCCTTACAGTAAGTCACTTCTATTCAGCAGCTTTAAAATGACTCTGTAAATCAAGTCCAGCCACCGTATTCAATCTTGTCCTGAAATGCCTCTCCGCTGCGAAAGATGCACCGTAGTTCGGGTTTTAATCAAACCAGTAACCCAGGAAGACAAAAGAAAGAATCCACTGTATCCAATTTAAGAAAATGACCCAAAAGGAAGTCATCTATCTTTGAGGAAACATCTTAAACACAGCTCTCATCACTTCCTTAATGAGAGACATTGATTCCCCCCCACCATCTATAGCAGCGCTTCATTCCCTTCACTAAGTGAAGTCAGTGACGATAAATTTGTGGCAGATCGATAGCAATGCTGGACCCATAATTGCAGTTTAGTTCGACTTAAATATCAAATGCTCCTTTTATGAACTAATAGTGAACATAATCTGTGATTTTGGAATTACGCAAGGGGATTGATTACCTGAGCACATGCTCCACTCAGGCTCATTTTTATTCCGAAGCAAGACCGCAACTCTACCTTAAGGCACCTCGAACTTGGAATCAATGCTTTCATAGCTGCAATTTTCTCTCCATATTGAGGGAAATAAAATGTCCTCTACACATGAACACATCGGGATACGAGACTGTTCATCTTCTTGCTTGAGAGTCTCAGAACAGCGCCGTTGCCTGAGGGTGCATCCAGTGTGGCTTTGGAGGGAGAAGCAAACCCGGGGGAACACCCCAACACTCAAAGGTCACAGATCACCTCGACGTGCACTGTATGTCTTGGTAAACGGCGCGGGTGGCGGTCTTTTGTCTTCATATTAGTCACGCGCTTTCATACACGTCGCAGGGTTCAATGAATCTGTCTGCGGCGCTGTACAAGCTTCTCCTGCTGAGCACACGCACGCATGTACGCACACTTGCAGCTACACACGGGCACAGAGAGGCCAGTCTTGCACATGGCCTCCATATGGCAAAGCCCACTTTTATTAGGGCCCGGACCAGTGTGTGTGTGTGCGCGCGTGTGTGTGTGTGTGCCACTCAGACACCAAGCCTCTGCCAGACATGGCTGAAGGAATTTCAATTAGCATCTTTTCCACCCCTTGCTTGCAGTCGCACACACGCAACTGCGCTCGGAGGCAGCAACAAGTCACTGATGCCATAACAGCATCAGGCCATGGTATTAAAGTCCCAATCCATCATGCAGTTTGTTTCCCGGCCAGAGAGAAAAGCCAAAGATAAATCAGATGTTATCGGAGCATGATCGCAGATATATAACGTTGTAACCTCACGTTCTACAAGTGGGAATGATTTGACGATCGGGGAGGAATCTCTCCGGGGTGAATCATGCTTTGACGTGTGCGCACATCTGCGCGCAAGCTTGCATGTATGTTTACGCTAATGTACCACCTCCAGCGATTCTCCAAACAAATTGCCGTCTTCAAATCAAAAAGATGCCGCTATATTGCGTTGCCGTTTCACATGATCGTTCGGCACGTGACCTTTTCTTGACGTACGCGCACATCTGGACTACGTTGTCAATTAGCTTGTTTGGAAAAAGCCATATAGATATATTTATGTATATATGTAAGTAACACGGGGGTTGGGACCGCCGGTGCCAAGAGCTTCAAAAGCCTGCATGTACTGTAAATGCAAAAATGTGTTCTCTTGAATCTGATTTGGGCTCATTCATAACACATGGCCGGTGAGACAAGCGCGAAGGAAGCTTTCACGCACACCCACAACAATGTCACATACCATCTCGGCTCAGCACCGCGGCATCTCAGGTGTTGAGCCTCCACAAGTGGAGCCAAGCGCTTATTTGGAGTCGTCCTTTTTGCGGTGCGGTTATCAAGCTCTCTAAGGTCTGGTAATGTTCAGGAGGTCAGATTGCAAATGGGCCTCATTAGATGGTGTCAGAGGTGATGAAGACGTTTTAAGTCGAACTCTAGGGTCATGAATATCCCCCCTCCCAGGCTGGATTTTGTTCGTTTCTAATCAGGTTGTCGCAGTTAAGAGTAGTACATCGCTGCAGCTTTGCAGCCTGCATCCCAAACATGTGACAAAGTGATTTCCTAGCAAGAACCAGCGCTGTCCGGGTGACCGCCGGCGACGCTGAAAAGTCCCGCTCGCGCATGTTTTCGGGGCAATTGAAACACAGCCCAAATTGTGGAGGCTCTCATGTTCCCATTCGGCGGATGTTTTTCCACCTCGATGCTAATTACACCACTTGTGCTCACTTGACACCCCACCCCCACCCGGGTTGACCCTTACCTAGTGACCCTCAGTCAGGAAGATTTGTTCATGGCAAAGTCTCTCCATGTGTCGCATCACTTTTGAAGCAAATGCAAATTCTACAATATGGATGATTAAATGTCACAATGATATTCCAATTATGGGAGGGGGGACCTATCGACCACGAAAAAAATCCATCAAGGGATGGTAGTTGACCATCGATGTCTTTTTAAAAAATTCTACAAGCTACATTTTAAAACTTCTCACGTGATCGGAAGTACTGTTAATATATAGTCAAAACAAGTCAAACGTGCTGTTAACCGCTGTTATGGTCAAATAAATAATGAAAAGAGCGAAGTTTCATAACAGATATGAACCAAAAGACTTTCGCTTTCATGTGTCTCTGAGTGAAAAAGTTTTTTTTTTCCACATTGTTTGCCATTTAATAGCCTGGAGTAAGGACACGAAAAAGAAAGAACCAGCAAAACACATGCAGGTTTAACACTTTGACGATTGCAGGGAGGTATGGTGAGCTCCCCCCCCCCCGTTTAAAAATCGGGCTGAAATAGCAAACAGCATCACCTCTGTGTCGCCGCGCTATCTTCAAGTCAAACGACATGAAGTACACAAAAAGCCATTTAACACATGTTTGATCTTGCTACGTTCTCCGATTTCTTCCTGAATCGAGTCCAGCTCGTCACTATTCTAGATCGTCTTTCCGTTACAACGCCGGTCCACTTCGCCCATCTCTTCACTTGATGAGCGTTTAGGGTTCTCGTGGGAAAACGTATCAGTGTGGCCCATAAAAAAGAGTGATGAGGAGCTATGGGACGCAGCAGAGGTTAGTGTCAGCCTTGCTTTGGCTTCAAAGTTACTTTGACATCTTCATGGACTCCTCTGTCAGTAAATTAAAGCGGTGTGCAAACGTCACGGGCAAGCCTGCTCCGAAAATACCGAAACCATCAGAGTCGTCCGAAACCCTGCCAAAGTCAACAACTCCGTTCAGCTGTGCTCCGAAAACATACACTAAAACTAAACTACCTGCACGCTTCCTCATACATCTGCTCCATTTGCTCCTCGGAAACTAACCAGGAGGGTTACAGTAGATTTGCTTTTATTTTACAGAGGTCGTGGAGCACATTAGTCAAGGTAATTGAGTGCCGGGAGACAAACGTGGATTTGAAATGTGCGCTGTCATCGATTGTGAAGAACTCTGTGAATGATTTTGGATTCATTTAGTCTTGAAGCAACAATGGAAACACACAGTACTGTACTTGGCTGTAACAATCGAGTTTGTACAGCAATTGTCCTGATTAGGGTCACGGATGAGCTGGAGCTTATCCCACCTCTTTCAATGTCCAATTGACAGACAATGTGGAAAATGCAGCTCAACTGAAAAAAATAAAATGGTGCGGTGGATTTAATCAAATTCCTTTCGTCAAGTGGTTGCACAAAATAAAATCATCTGGATCGAGACACGATTTTTAAGGAGATGTCCAGTCTGGATCCAGATGATTTTATTAAGTGTCACCACTTAACGAAATAAATTTGAGTAAAATTTAACAAAACCTCTTTTAGTTTTTTTTTTTTCTTTCAGTGAAGGCATCACTGGAACATGGATGGCTAAGAGTCGACACAGATTGCACCGATGTCATCCCGAACCCGCTACCAACCGCAAACAGCATATTTGGATGGTATTTGGCCATCATATGCTTGAATTAACCATCACCCATTTCTTAAAACTGGCAGCTGAGCAGATAGAACCGCTCGACATCCACACAAAATTATTGAGGCAATTCATCATCTTTTAGGTGAGCCGACAATCTTCACCTGAAATTTTAAACCAAATTGAACAGTTGACAAAGCATCTGACCGACAGTACTTGCTTTGAAACACAGCTGAAGTCTGGATCAAATTATGCCACTTCTGAATCATGACCTCTTTTTTTTCTTTTACTGGAACCCACCAAACACTCACCATTTAATATGCCCCCCCCAAAAAAAAGCTGCACAATACTGATCATCCATGCGGGTAAGACTCTTATGTGGTTTTACTGTAACCAACATGCAGACACTTAACACCACCGAGCATAAAACGAAGCACGGCTTTGAAATTCACCTCATTAGAAAAAGATACAAATTGAGGTGTTGGATTGTGTGCTTATTATGCATACAATGCCTTTGTGTCATCGGAGATCGGATTTATTCATGCTCTTTTCTGTTTAGTCCTGAAGTACAACCCTTATTAAAGATGTAAGTTCGGCATAATTTCAACTGCATCTGACTTTAAATGTTGCAGGCAAAAAAAAAAAAAAAAAATCACTTTTCCGAGGTTGTGCTGTGGAGTTCCGAGGACGAAGATCAGAAAGAAGCAGAAGCATCAGAAGTTGATTATGATGCCAAAGAATGTTTAGTTGGTGGGGAAGCCTTTTGATTGTTTATATTATGCTCAGGATTCTTGCAGACTATCATCATAAAGTAAACAGACAGGATTGGGAGGAAAGCCGTGATATTAAGCCAAAAAAACGGATCTATCAGGTTTTCGGGCTGTAATGGCATATTTCACAGATTATTTGACCTGCCAGTTGGATTTCTGAGCACGGCAGCATGTGCAGGTTCTCCATTCCTGATGTTTTACAGTCCCGTGGAGTTGATTGATACACACCGCCCATTCGGAGTCTTGGCCAATCCAAAAATGTAACAAATCCTCCAGTTTGGCCACAAGCAGCCAAAGAGAACCACAGAGATGTCCTCACTTTGCTCTTTGTACAACGCCTCCCAGCGTAGTCACAG